TGGTGAAATATCTCACCGCAATTTTTTTTTATTTTAGATAGGTAGAACCAATAACACTGTTCTAAATGTGTATTAGATCGTGTTTAAGATCAACCATCGGATTTTTTTTTAAAACAACCGATAAAGAAACAAACAACCAACAACGACATCGATAACAAAACGAAATCAGAGACAAATTAATGTGACATTACAGTTGAAACTTGACAGTTAAATTTGATACACCATAATCCCATATTTTTAGATTATCGATGTGTCCAAGCATTTTGAATTATTCCAAATTTTAAATATTTTAGAGATGCAAGATTTAGTTGATACTGATTTCGCGGGTTCGCAGTGTTCGCAAGTATCCAATAATCGATTATGGGTTTATTGACATCGATGTTTCGATGTTTGACATGTTACACTTTTGACATCGATGATGTTCGATCATCCCTAGTCTGTCTGTGTGTGGTTTTGACATTTGGGTAATTAATACATAATGGTTTTGCTGCTTTTATACTTTCATAGTACATAATACATATTCCTTTTCTCATTTGATTTGGTTTATACTTCAGAATTATAAAATAAAATAGGAAAATTAGCATTCAGCTATGGCAAATCTTACTACTGACGGTAAAATATGTATTGAACGTAAAATAAATATTAGTTTTACTAACAATAATTTTCATGATTTAGTTTCACATTTCAATGTAATGGAAACTTGCAAATGGATAACAGAAAATAACTTTTCAAAGGTGAGGAACAAAATAAATATAGTAAGGTTACGAAGAGGTTGTTTTTAGAATAATTTTCTATTTAATGTCAATGAAAAATACGTGGAAATTTACTATATTTCTGCAGGTATGTCTGCAATTTCCTGATGAGCTATTGACTGTGAGCGCACAAATTTATGAGGAAATAAAGAAAAGGATTGATGTCGATCTATATATTTTAGGAGATACTTCATATGCTAGGTATATTTTCAATAAAAATTTAATAAGTGTTTTGGTCCATTATTCATAGTGACTATTTAAATTCATCTTAATATCAAGTTTAGCCATTTATATCGCTAAACATTTTGTTGAACTTCTGCTTTTACAGCTGTTGCATAGATGCAGTAGCAGCAATGCATGTACAGGGAGAAGCAGTGATTCACTATGGGCGAACCTGTTTCACAAAATCAAATATTCCTGTCTTCATAGTCCTCCCTAAAAGAGATCTAGATCATAACACCACCAAGAAAGCTTTAAAGGAACATTTTAATAGTGATGAGCATACTAAACTATGTCTTTTTTATGATGCTGAATTTGAACATTGTAAAGGTAACTTTTTAACTTAAATTTGTGGTTTAAATAAGTTTCTCTCATTTATATATTTTTTTTATAAGATAAGGGTGACAAACGAGCACACAGTCCACCTGATGGTAAGTGGTTGCTGCGGCCCATAAACATCTACATCTATCCTCTATTACAAATCAAAATGCAGATGCTTGTCACCCGTGAGGACTAAGATGGAATGCCTCATTTCCTGTAAAAAGGGTCTCCGGTTCTCTACACTCACCATACGAAACATCAGCTTTAAGCTGCTATTTTACGCTGGTATTTTGTGAGAATGTGGTCCTTCCCAGGTCGAGCCGACCCATTCGTGCTACAACTATACTACTAATATAGTTGCAGCATGGCTCTACCACGTAAAAAATATTTATTTATTTTTTATTATTTAATAAACACAACACATCAAATAAAAGTCATACATACAGATCTATACAATTATTAATTTTTATTTAGTCAGAAAATAAAAATAATAATATAAATAGTCTACACTGTCAACTTCTCATTTGGGGATTATTTGTGAGTTCTTTTACTTAAAATGTTTCAAATGAAATTGTTTTGGAGTCATATTCATGTGGAAAAAGTTTACTGTCAAACAACCTCATAGACATTCCTGTATAAACAGTAGAGAACTCTAATATGGATATTTTAAAATTTGGACTTTCATCATTTAAAAATAAAAATTTTGTACAACTTACTTCAATATAAATTATTAAGTATAACTCAAAAACTATTGGTAAAACTTTGATCAAATTTATATGGGATCACATGAGAAGCTGCTGACCTGCATGTATCCTGCTTTCAAATTAAAAAAGAAGCATCGAAATTGGTTCATCTAGAAAAAAGTTGAGGTAATACACATAAAAAAAGAACATACAGTCAAACTGAGTACCTTCTCCTTTTTGAAGTCTGTGTAAAAACAGGTTCTTTGCGACAAATTTGAATTGGGAAGTTAGTTAGTTAGTGACTGTCTGTAAAATTCTGTAAAATTAGTTTTATTGAATCAACATTTTTCACTGCTGTTTCTCTTCATTCACTTTCTGTATAATATTTTCTTTATAAATTATTATTATTTTCAGATGAATTAGTACAAATTTGGTACCAGCAATATCCTCATAGCTTCATAGCATTTATTGAGATGGAAGATAAAAGTAAAAGCTTTCTTGGTCGTTTGATTAAGAACAGAAATGAAGAGGAATTCCCTATAGACATACTTAAGGACTGCATTTGTATTTACATTGGATTAAATGGACAGACATTGTTTAATTATACCATATCAATTGAAGGTAAGAAATGAAAAATCAATCAAAATTATAAAAGGCATCTCTATAACAATAATCTTTACTGACATAAAATGAGGTTACAAATAGCTTATGATGTTTCTGAATCCTAAACTAGGTAAGAATGTCAGGATTCAGCACCTTCGTCCATGTTTCTTAGTCATATTAATTCATGTCAAAACAATTTTCCAGTGTTTCCAGATTTAACTAATAGCAGTTATACTTAAAGAATATTATTTGATAATTTTTGGGGTGCATGCAGAAGTAACAATCAAGTATTTTGTTTGAGTGTGAGTGTGTGTTTGTGTATGTTATGTGAAATATGTGTATTATATATATATATATATGTTTCACCTATTTCAGTATTTTTTAATTTCCTCATAGTTTAATGTAACTAGCCAGTTCCTTTTTTTAGTTTGACATTCGTGTAGTGATAGTGAATAAAAATTTAGAATTTTATAAGTTTAATTATAAAGGTATCCAGAAAGAAAAGTCGCCCTGCTAATGCTGCATCTTAGGGGATCAATAACATTGGTAATTGCACGCTTGTACAATTCTATCTCTGTAAAATATAATTTTTTTGAAAGAATAACTGACAGTTGAGCACACATTCCACCTGATGGGTATTGGATGCTGTGGCCCCTAGACATCTACATTTATCCTCGATTAAGCATCAAAATGCATATGCGCTATCACCTCTGAAAATTATGATGGAATGTGCCTCATTTCCTGTATAAAGGGTCTTCAGTTCTCTACACTCATTATATAAAACACAGCAGCATCAAGCTGCTATTTTGTGCTGGTATTCTTTGAGAGCATGGTCCTTCCCCGGTCGAGCCGACCCATTCGTGCTACAACCATAATATAGCTGCAGCGTGGCTCCACTACATATATTAATCTAATCCAAATTTATCATTTGAAAATAAGACCACTCACTTGTTGGTCTGCTTACCTACTACCGAGTCACCCTGCTGACTATTAACATAATCTAATAAAAGACTAATTTACAGCTAAAAATTGGTTTGCACTTGACCCAGAAACATTTAAAATTGAAAGGAAGGAAGAGACTGCTTGGTTCAAACGAAGACGCTTTCTAATTGAAAAATGCAGAGATGCTAACATAATTGGGATTCTTATTTGTAAACTTGCTGGAGACCAAACAAAAGATATAATAAGCAGGATGAAGCAGCTTTGTAAAGTTAATGGAAAGAAGAGTTATATAATTTCAGTAGGAAAACCTAATGTTGCTAAACTAGCTAACTTTCCAGAGGTGAGTGTTGTTGTCTGTATTGTAACAAAAATCTTGAATTGTAATGAAAAATATAATAATAAACTTAAAATGCACTTCTTGTTCTTAACACTATAAATGACTAAACTTTTTGTATCCTTTAAATTAAGTGATTAAAAATAATTTATATCTTGAACTCATAAGACTTTATTAATTTGTTTAAAAAATCAATTGCATTTTCAGATTGATATTTATGTTATGATTGCCTGCCCAGAGAATGACCTTTACAGCAGCAGAGACTTCTACAAGCCAATAATTTATCCATTTGAATTGGAAGTGGCATTAAACTCAAACAGAGAAAGTTACTTCACCAGCCATATAACTGACTACAATGAGCTACTGCCTGGCAATCGCCACTATTGTGATATCAACCACACCAAAGAAATCACAGATGTGAGTCTGATCACTGGTAAAATTAGAGAAACTAGAGTTCAATCAAATACGGAAAGCACAATGGAGTTAGCTGAAAAACAAAATTTGGCATTGGAAACTATTGGTCACAATTTGAAAGAAAGGTCATGGAAAGGTCTGGAACAGAAACTAGGGGAAACGGAAGTAAAAAAAGCTGAGCAAGGCCGAAGAGGGATACCGTTGCAATATAATAATGAGCCGGAGTGAATTTAAAACATATATATTTAATATGTACAAAATAAGTTACATAAAATACAATAATGAACTAAAGTGAAAAAGTTCGACACTTGGGCCATTTTACTTGTTAAGGTTAGTTTGAGAGCAGTGGGAAGCATCAGTGTGAAAATTTGGAATGAAAGGTCCAAGTGAGGAACCGTAAAAATTGTTTACAGCAATGTTAATAATAAAGCATGTATGCACCCTCTGCACACACCTGAGCGCCTCACTGCTTGGGCTATAGATATTTTTAACAGTAACAGTTTCTGAGTGATTATAGTCTTTTGCTGCGTAAGTTCTGAGTGAATGCACTGCTCCAAAAACAAACCTTACCAATATCGACTTTATAAATAAATATAGTTATAAGTCTCACACTTAGTTTCTGTTTTGTATCCTAAAACATTGTATGAATTAACAACAGTATCAAAAAGCATTGAACAAACATGAATTAGATTCTAACTATGGACTAAATTCTTGAAAGGATATGGACAAATCTCAAATCTTCTGATTAAGTGGGTTCTGTGGAGACTTAGTCCATTCTTTCCTAAGCATCTGTTTAAGTTGTGACAACCTCAGGGATGGGTTTTCAGCCTTCAATCTTGGTAGATTAATTTCTTCAAATGCAGTATATGCAGCTTTTATACGCTTCTCAGGGTGCTTATCAGTATCTGCTTTATCACTGAAAATCATAAAAGAAAAATTAAGCTTCTAATTCACATAAAAGGCAATAAATTATTGCTTCAAATTTTTATATAAAGATATTATTATCATGGCAGGTAGTGGCAGTAGGCAAAACAAAGATATTACATAAATATTACACCTTTATTGACAATTGTTGGTAACACAAATGCTGTTCCAGGCTGTTAAATACTAGGCACATTCAGTTCAAAATTGTACACATCTTTACCTTAAAATATCATGTACATAACCAGTGTGTGTTACCAGTAAGGACATACAAATTGGAACCTGGTCCTTCATTGCTGGTAAAAGTCCCTTGGCGAGATATGGTTTCAAGTTTCTCCTATGTGATAAAATCCGAAAAGAGGATATCACCAGTAGAACAAGGATCAAGTAAAGGTGAAGTGATTATGGCTTAGTTGTGTAGCATAAACAAAATCGATGGAGAAATCTTCTCAATTGGTCTTGCAATGACGTGAACAGTGGCGACACTCCAATAGATATAGTAATGACGTATTGAAATGTGTGGTGAGAAGATGGATGCAGGTGGCTCAGGATTATGCTTTGTGGCAATCTGTTGGAAAGGTGTCAGCTAGACTTAATGGACTTTAATTTTGTTGATTTTGATCATACCAATAACTTCCAAACACTGTCTGAAGTTACTAACAGGGGAGGTGTTTTGTTTTTAAATGTCCTTATATTACACATAATATAGAAAGTGATATAACAAGTAGACACTAAACATAGTTTGTGGTTTTACACAACTGAAACCTAGGCCATAATATAGTCGTCGCCTATTCCTTTTATAATGTTCCATATAAATTAGCAGTAGACCAAACACTCATACTTTTTATGTACTCTAACATTTTTGTGTAACAAAATTAAAAATGTTTGTTTACCTTAGTATAGAAATAGCTTCTTCTACGGATTGTGCAACTTCACCTTCTAATTGTAATCTATTAAGATTTTCTTCAAGTGGAGGCTCTTCAACTACAACTCTTGCAGGCTGCAATACACAAATTTCAATAAATACACATTACGAATATATGTGTACGATTTTTTTTTAAATTATAGACATTCATTTTTGTCTGCTGACATGTGCCTATTCCTTTGACAGAATTGGTAATGGTAGTACAGAATACAGATATCTCACACCTTTAACATTGTTGTCAGCGCCTATCTGTTTAACACTATCGTTAGAATGATCCCTAGGTTAATACCGAAAATGTGAGATTGTTAAGTAATAATAAAAGTATCACAGTTTCCAAACATCAGTGATAGAAAAATCGATTTTTGTCTTTGGTTAAATTTTGCTTTGTAAGTTAGTAAAAGTTACAGTCTATATACATCACACTACTGGGCACACGCCTTCTCTTATATGACTTTTAAGGCAAGGAAATGTCCGCCGCGCTGCCCCAATTCGTGTTGGCAAACTTCACATGAAAAATTTTTTTCTTATTTCTCAGACATGTAAGATTTCCTCACAATGTTTTCCTTCACTGTCGAGCACATCGTAAATGCTATGTAAGTATATTATTTAAAAGCTGTAGACCCTGTATAAAGCATCAGGTATAGGTATAAACCGTGACCCAAAAATATGCAAAAATAGTCAACTTCTATATTAAGTATCTCAAAATTAACTTATCTGAACTTATGAATAAATAGAATATGCTTGTATGTGAAATACTTTGGTATTTTCATATTTCTGAAGTTATTTTTTAACAGTGGTAGAGCCACGCGGCAGCTTTTGCTGTCGCACGGAAGGGCCGGCCCGAACCGGGGTGGTACCACGACCTCACAGAAAACCAGCGTGAAGTAGAGATTTACCTCTGCGTTTCGCTTGGTGAGTGCAGGTGGCCGGAGACCCTTTTTACTGGAAATGAGGCATTCCATCTTAGTCCTCACGGGTGACAACGCATCTACATTTTGATTTGTAATAGAGGATAGATGTAGATATCTATGGGCCGCAGCAACCACTTACCATCAGATGGACTGTGCTCGTTTGTCACCCTTATCCTATAAAAAAAAATATTTCTGCTCCTACTTTCGTTAAAATTAATGTAAAATTACGGATGTTTCCAGGCCTTAAATTCCAAACCAATAATTTATCTACTGTTCCATTTATGTACAAGCTTAGACAATATTATCCTTATTTTTGGATGTACATTATGAAACAGATGACCCTCTTACGTTAGTATGGTCACGTCACAGTCGATAGTCCACATTAGGTGTTCGTGAATGAGTTTGTGAGTATCAAAAAAACTACTTTTTATGTGATAAATTTATAGTTATTTACGATTTTTGGTTTTTATCCTTTACTTGTGTGAGACCTTGCTTCTTACGAAATTTCATGATTCTAGGTTAACAGAAAGCACCCTTTAGGTTTCGATGAGTATCCTATAATTGTATTAACTAAGAAGCTTGAATATTTTACACCTCCAAGCATTTAGATATTAATTTCCATTTGATACGTCTACCTATTTTTAAGAAAAATGGTCTTGACAGACTGATTGAAACCTCATAAGGGTGACATTTGCCATAGTTGCCATGCTTGGCAGCGGGTTGGCAACCGCAGTTTTTTTTAGAGACTGATAAAGTGATCCCTATAAGGATTCTATTTTTATTGAGATATGGAACCTAAAAACTAATATATAATGAATAGGAAAATGAAAATATTGCCAAAAAATTTACTACATTTTTTTGATGACCCAGAAGGTTTCAGTTTATTGACAATGGGATTTAAAGTAGATGTTATGAAAACATAGTTTACCACTGGTTTTTCTGGCTCAGCCTTCTTGGACCTTTCCTTTATTTGTTCTATTTGTGCACGAGTGATCTTTGGCTGTGGTGCTGCTTTAACAGTGCCTTTAATTGATTCCATCTCCTTCTCCAATAATGCTTTTGCTTCTGCTTTCTTCTTTAATTGCTCCAGTCGTTTTTTTTCTTGTTCTTCCTAAAATACACATATGTAACAAAACCTGTTCTTGTGTGTAAATACTTACTTTAATAAATAAATATAGAACAAGAATAAAGCAAAGTAAGTTCTGCCAAGAGTTTCAATGCTGTTTAACAAAAATATCTATTTAAAATATAATTTTTTGAGAGATTTTATATCGGCTATTGTTTATAATGGAATGGAATTAATTTGTACCTAAAATGGAACTCATCATTCATCATCATCATTATAGGCCCTTCACAAGACCCCTGCTGAAAATAGGCCACCACTAAACAATTCCACAAAGCAGGGTCTGAGCCACATGTATCCATCAACTTCCTGCATGTCTTACCAGGTCGTTACTCCATCTAGTGGGGGGGCTGCCTCGCACTTCGCCTACTGGTGCAATGTTGCCACTCGAGAACCTTGCTTCCCCATCGGTAGTCGGTTCTTTGAGCTATATGGCTGGCCCATTGTCACTACAGCTTACTAATCCGATGGGCTATGTCGGTTTTTGTTTTTAATAGAATAGGGTGACAAACGAGCACACAGTCCATGAAGGTAAGTGGCTGCTGTGGCCCATAGAAGTCTACATCTATCTTCATTTGCAAATCAAAATGCAGATGCGTTGTCACCCGTGAGAACTAAGATGGAATGCCTCTATTCCAGTAAAAAGACTCCGGTTCTCTACACTCACCATACGAAACACAGCAGTGTTTAGTTGCTATTTTACGCTGGTATTCTGTGAGAGCGTGGTCCTTCCCTGGTCGAGCCGACCCATTTGTGCTACAACTATACTACTAATATAGCTGCAGCATGGCTCTACCACGTTTAAAACCGGAATTAAACAAACGGAACAGTTACTCTAGTTCTACTGCAGATAACCTTATTTCTAAGTTAATCACAGAGAAACCCCTAATGTGGAAATGGAATCCTACCTAAAATGAAAATTTACTCACATTTACTTAATAAATAATTAAATTAGTTTATAAATTATTAACTATTAATTTTATGATAATGGAAGAGCTTGTAGAAAAATATACATATATCTAAGACTTACAATTATTTAAAATACTAAAACAAGGATGATATTCTCTCTGATAATAACAGAGTAGATGTGATGTAACTGAATAATATGTGCATGAAAATGTGCAGGCATGTGTACTTGAACATGTGTGTATGCAAGTACACAAATTTTAATCAAAGGGCAAATATAAATAATTAAAAAAATGTGTTAGGCATTTAAATAATATTTTTTTATTTAAATGTCAGTGTTAATTTTATTTACACTTTAACAGTTGTACTTCGATTAATGGAAATAGGAATAATTCTACATCTATGACATGACAACAATTAATATTTGACAAATTACTAGGTAGCATTACCATTACCATTTTAAAAATGAGGGAAGGCTTTTGATGTGACTAGTAATATAGACTGTTATAATATTTGTGAAGCCCAAGAGTGGTTTAACACACAGTCAAACATTACACTTTGAATAAAACTACCCCCTCCCCATTGACTCTGTGACCTTGGATGCTGCAAAGCACTTGAAACGTCAGGATTTAAAAATAAATTAAATTAAACACAATAAAATCCGTAAAATGTAATAAAGTAGTTTTATTCAGTGTTCTATTTGTTTGGTAATAAGCAATAAATAGCCAAGTAATGGTGGCATAAGAGTATTCCCTACCTCATAGCATCCAGCAGCTTATATAAAAAGCTTCAAAGACAAACTGAAACAGGTAATGGACTGAGCAGCATCTTCCTGATAATAAAAAGCTGGAGTTTACTAACCTCCTGTCAAGCATGGCAACTATGGCAAATTTTCCTCCCTTGAGGCATATTGTGAGTCCATTGTTGGGCAGTGGACTAGACTGTATTGATGATGGTATATTAAAATGTGCTTATAAAACCATAATATTATATGCCTTTGTTTGTTTAACTATTTTGGGATCTCTGTTGATGTTCTTTCATCTTTATGTAAAGTACTGTTTGTCAAATATTCACTTTTAGGTCATGTTATAGACAAAAAATTATACCTTTACCCATTAATCAAAGTACAACTGTTAAAGTGGACTGCCAAAATAATAAGAAATAATATTTTTAAAAGTTATCTGAACAGACTTCATGAATTTAATCTAAATTGCTGTTGCCTCATTTTTCATCATATTCTTGCATTGTCATGTGAATTTTGAGCTATATTCAAAATTTGAAGTTTCTAGCTCATTGAGAAGTTAGTTTAAAATCAATTACTAAATTCCACTCAGAACAACAGCCAAACAAAAAAGTGACTTAATTGCATTTGATTAAAATTTTTCTACTTGCATACATACCGTCGCTAACACCACAAAGGGGTGTCCCCCCTTTGCGGGTTCAATGACAATACACATTACATTTGTCTGCACTTTTCAACCTACTTCAAAAAAAGGAAGAGAGGTTCCCAATTCAACTGTATGTTTTATTGTGTTTTGATTTTTATTTTATTTGAAAGCTGGTGCTTCTTATGTGGACCCATAAAAATTTGATAAAGATCTGACCAGAAGTTTTTAATTAATCCTTTATAATGTGTATTTAATTGACTTTGACTATTTCCTTATTTTATTTATAATGAAGTCGGTTGTTTTAAATTTTTTCATTTTACCACTTATTTATGCACATATTATTCCCTTCACATTTACTGTGTTGTTATAAACTTGACTTTGTCACTTGATCGACTTATTGATGAGAGTATTCAAACACCCATGCTTATTATAAGAGGGAACATCATCCTTACTTTAGTTTTTGAAAATAATAGTAAACCTTGGATAAAATATTCTTCTAGAAATTGTGCCATCATCATCATAAAGCCTCAGATCGGAGTTAGCCATTTATAATGTATAATTACTTTATAGTAATTGTTTTTCATCACAATTACATTTCGAAATTCCACAGGGACTTCTAGATTAGGACTTCTGATTCTGCTAACATAATTATTGTTGTAATCTATGTAGAATTAAGTTCACGAAAAACGCAATAAAATGCAACAAACCTTCTTTTGTTGCTTTTTTTTCAATTTCTCATCATCATCTTGCCATTCAGAATCTTCTATCATCTTCTTAAGTTTTTGGTCTTTCTCTTCTTTTGCAAGTTCTTTACGCTCTCGCGCAGCAACTGCTTTGCTGTTTTCTCCGACAAACTTCTTAGGCATTTTGATCTAAAAGATGCAGGTTATCCGCATTATTATACAGCAAGAGAATTAAATAATAATTTAATTTATAGAAAAATAGCTACATTATATTGATATTATGATGAATGGAAAACGAATAAAATGCAATCTTATCGAAGAAAACAATAGTAAAACCTATCAAGTAACAAGTAATCAAGTATATCACTATCGGCTTTATTTAGTGAATCTGGCTGTCATCTGTCACTGTCACATAAAACGTGATTTGTTGTTTTTATTATTCGCTCGTGAGAGCAGGCAAAGGAACTAAGCCATACAGCCTACATAAAACCTGAAAGCTGACAGCAAAGACTACAGTGGCTGAGAGACAGCAGATAAACTTTTTTAATTAAGGTTGTTGGCTTGGATGCTTGTCTTTTCAGCCATATCTTCATTTATCGCAGTATTAAGTGATAATAATAATTTATAGTCTCTGATTCTATATATACAAATACGCTGGATTAGCTATAGGTACGCTACAACATCTTTGTACTGATTTAAAGCGCCAACATTATTCTTATCGGAAACTAAAATTGACATAGGCAATTCAACCAATTTTATTAAACGTTCTAAGGTGAATTTACAGCTAATATTAAAAAGAACTATACTATTTCATAATATAAGTACTTAAAAATTTCTTACTAATGTTAATATCGTAATTACCAACATGTTTGGCTTTATATTAGTGTGTTTTAATCATAGACTTCGAATATACTGGCGTATAGAAGACCTAACAGCTAGGCTGGTGCAACTTCCATAGTAAAAATTATATGTACAAATGTATGTACTATTCGTAGCAATATTTCCTTTAGATGATGAAAGATATATGGTAATTTCAACATTAATTATAATATGATACTTAACGCGAGTACATTTTTGGACTAGCCATCTACGTAGGACAGGTTTTTATAGTGTATGTGTGTAGTATTTTCTAAATCTGATAGCTCGAAACTAACTATACTTAGAAACTACATTATCAATTGTGAGTGCTAACATTCTATTTGTTCAATAAAAATGTGATTTTATTTATATTATTTTTTCAGATGCTGGCAATGGGTGAAGTAGCTCCACACAGTGGAGGAGCCCCAATGAAGGGCTCTATGGCACGCTACTCCACTGTGTGGAGCAGCAGTGCGGTGGTCTTTTTCTTCAAGAAAGGCGATAACGCTCTCTTGTAGAACTACAGACCGATTTCCCTTCTGAGCCGCGTCTACGTGCTGTTTTTGAGAGTCATTATGAATCATCTCGCACGCAGGCTCAACGACTTCCAGCCTTCCGAACAAGCCGGTTTCCGAAAAGGCTTTAGTACCATAGACCACATACTCACCCTTCGACAATTGGAAAGAAGACAGAAGAGTACAATTTGCCGCTTTGCCTTGGGTATGTGGACTATGAGAAAGCCTTTGATTCCGTCGAAATTTGGGCGGTGCTACAGTCCCTTCAGTGGTGCCAAATTGACTGTCGGTATATCGAAGTGCTGAAGTGTTTGTACAGTAGGGCTACGATGGCTATTCGAGTACAGAACTAGAGTACGAAACCTATTCAACTTCAGAGAGGTGTAAGACAGGGTGATTATATATCCCCGAAACTCTTCACTGCTGCATTTAAAAGACGTTTTCAAGCTTCTGGACTGGAAAGGATACGGTATAAACATCAATGGAGTACATCACTCACCTTCGATTTGCCGACGATATATTACTTATGGCATAATCGCTGGAGGACCTAAGCACTATGCTCAATGACCTCAATAGTGTCTCCCAACGGATAGGTCTTAAGATGAACATGGACAAAACAAAGATCATGTTTAATGTCCATGTCACACCTATGCCGGTAGTTGTTATGAGCACTAAGCTCAAAGTTGTTGACGAGTATGTTTACCTGGGATAAATAGTCCAACTAGGTAAGTCCAACTTCGACCGAGAGTTCAATCGACGGATTCAACTCGGTTGGGCAGCGTTTGGGAAATTACGGCACATCTTCTCGTCAGGTATACCTCAAAACTTGAAAACGAGACTATACAACCAGTGTGTGTTACAGTGTGTGTGACTATACAACCTGATGGCCGGATGAGGAAGCTCAAGGTTGCTCAGCGAGCAATGGAGAGGGCTATGCTCGAAGTTTCTCTGCTTGATAAACTTGGAAATGAGGATATCCGCAGTAGAACCAGAGTGACAGACATAGCCCATCGGATTAGTAAGCTGAAGTGGCAATGGACCGGCCATATAGCTCGAAGAACCGACAACCGATGGAGAAAAAAGGTTCCTGAGTGGCAGCCTCGTACCGGCGGACGAAGTGTAGGGCGTCCCCCCACTAGATGGAGTGACGACCAGGTAATACATGCAGGAAGTCGATGGATTCAGGTGGCTCAGGACCGTGTTTTGTGGCATTCCTTGGGGGAGGCCTATGTTCAGCAGTGGACTTGTGAAGGGCTGTAATGATGATGATGAAGAATCAAAATACAGATGCGTTGTCACCTCCGAGGAATAAGACGTAACCTTGTACAAAAATGTCGATGTATCGACATATTGATATTTTTTGTTCGATCTTTTATTTCGATACATCGATATATCGATATGAAATATCAGGTTTCGAAAATATATCAAAAACGATATATTTCCTATAACAACACCTTTGCCACTACTGACTGACCATAAAAATTTTGAACCGACAACCGCGATTTTACCAGATTCCTCTGTTTCATCCGAAAGATTGGCATCAGTTGTTAATCTTAGTCTACCCAAAAGCAGAAGTCAACTTTAAGTAGAGCAGATCAAATTTAGAGTTTTTCTTTTGTGTCTTTCGAAAAAGTATTGATTTGCTAAAGTGCATTTAAAAGTATTATATTCTATTTCATTCGATTAAACCATTATATTATTTTTATCAATATGTTATTTTATTGATTTATGATTTTACACTACGTTCAGACTTTTTATTTAATTATCAGAAACGATGTTTCAAGTATGTATATAGTAATTCATAACTTATATGAATAGTCAACACAATAGAAATTCATAAAGTAGGCACAAATATAGTGGGAAATATTTTACTGATCTTCCGATATTAACCACTAAGTCACTGAATTCTTCTCCTGCGGTCGCCGAATCATTACTTAAACAAAATGTAAATGCGTGTACAAAGAATTTTGCATTTCATAAAGTATCATCAAAAGATATTGTAAAATATTTTAAAACTATTGATGTTAAGAAAACTCTTAAATTAATTATTTCATATTTAAGTAAGAGAACGCAAAATGTTGTCATTAACAATATGAGCTCTTCCGAATCGATGGTACAAATGGGCGTGCCTCAAGGCTCAATTCTCGGCCCCTTTCTGTTTCTTGTATACATTAATGACTTACCTTACATAGTAGGGGATAATCATGATATAGTATTATTTGCAGATGACACTTCTTTAATTTTCAAATTAAATCGGCAATTACTAAAATATGACGAAGTAAATAATGCTATATCTAAATTAGTAAATTGGTTTAATGTTAATAATTTGCATTTAAATGGCACTAAAACGAAATGTATGAAATTCATGACTCCAAATGTCAAACAATTAAATACTAATGTAATTTTAAATGGGGAGAAACTGAGTCTTGTAGCCACCATTTTTCTTGGAATCACACTAGACGCGAAGCTTCAATGGAGCCCCCATATATCAAAACTAGTAAGCAGACTTAGTTCTGCAGCATATGCTGTAAAAAAGATTAGAAGTCTAACCAGTGATTCCTTATATTTACGCGAACACTACACATTTTTAAATAAAACTAATTTTACGGATTTTATCGCGTATATTAACTTATTTTTAACTTATTTTTATATTCCCGACGTTTATGGCAGCACCCATCCATCTTCTCTATTGAAATTAGGATGTTTTTTAATTTCAATAGCCTCGCGAATCATCCTTGGGAGGAATCGGTGTTCTTTTGCGAGGATTTGTGGTCTATCAAATCTAATGTAATGACGGGGACGATCCTGAACATGTTCACAAACTGCAGACTTCCCGATACGTCGGTGCTTCACGTCAGCTATATGTTCTTTAACGCGGGTTTTAATAGATCTTTTTGTTTGTCCTATGTACGAGAGACCACATTCACAATCCAGCTTGTACACTCCTGCATCTTGTAGAGGGATATGACACTTGACGGATGGTAAAAATTGACCAATCTTCTTCAGCGGCTTGAAGTACGTTTTAATGGAAGCTCGCTTCAAGATGTAGCCAACCTTGTCTGTGACTCCTCTGACATAGGGTAGTACAGCAGGCACACGCTCGACTGTGGCTGGCTTCACTCGGTCACTGTGACGTAGGCGCGGGACCCGAAGCTTGTTGTCTTGCAGTACTTGCTCGACGTGCTGAAGCTCGGCGGCCAGATGTTTTCTGTCACAGATCCCTCGTGCTCTCTGAAACAAAGATTTTCCCACGGTAGCTAACTGTGAAGGATGATGGTGAGATTCACCATTTAAATATCGGTTGGTATGGGTATTTTTTCTGTACACAGTATGACCAATAGTGTTATCAGGATTTCGGATGACTAAAACATCTAGAAAAGCTAAAGTATTGTTTGCCTCTAACTCCATTGTGAATTGTATTTTAGGGTTTATGGAATTAAGGTGGTTTAAAAATGCAGTTACTTTGTCAGATGGTAAAATTGTGAAAGTATCGTCTACGTACCGCTTGTAGAATCTTGGATTTACAGGAGCAGTAAGAAGGGCTTTCTCCTCAAAGTCCTCCATGAATATGTCGGCGACTACGGGAGATACAGGTGAGCCCATTGCCACTCCATCTACTTGCATGTAGAACTCTTCTTTCCACAATAAATAGCCAGATGTGAGGCAGTGTTTGAGTAATACTGCATATTCTGTAGGCATGTTGTTATCTTCTAGCTTTCTAGTAACAATTGAGATGCAGTCTTCAATAGGTAGGCATGTGAATAGTGACTGAACATCAAAACTGACCATAGTTTCATTGTCAGCGAGATGTAGGTCTTTAATCTCACTAAGTTTCTGTTTCTATCATAGATATAGTATATACTCCAGTGATTTTAATACTATATCTATGGTTTCTATTATAATTCGCCTATGTTGTCAGCACTGTTTATCAAAAATTAAGTGTCATATCTTGATGTTGGTAAAGTAGCTTGGCACCCGGTCATAAATTTACATTATCTTAGGATGTCCCACCTCTTAATTTTTTTTTGGAGTTTATGGCCTGGTATCTAGACCTTTAGGCCATACCACCTCTTAAACTTAAACGCAGTGGTGCCAGGTTAGGCGATTTTTCGAAAGGGTGTCGGGGAAATCGAAAATTGCGATTGGCAACTGATCGCAATTTAGACAACTTCGGAAAAAATCAAAAGCGATTTTTGGGTATATAATTCTCTTTCTTATTAAGGGTCTCTAAGGATATATAATAAAAAATACGTGTAATTAAATATGTTTTTGACACACAGAAATATCCAAGAAGACTAGATTTCAAAGTATCAACAACCTAAGAAAAAAGTTATATATATGTATGTATATATATATATATATATATATATATATATATATATATATATATATATATATATAATAATTAGTTAATCTCTATAATTATAAGTAAAATATATTGGTTCAATTGGTGAAATATAAAAATTGATAAACGGATAAAATACATATTTTTATTATGTTGATCTTTTCTTTCACGTTTACGATAAACTGCTTCAAATTTTATCGTGTTAAAATTATAAATAAGGTTTATTAAGGTAGTTCTACGTTTAAAAATAGTCTTTATAGGCTACCTGACAATTCAGCACGCCATTTTAGGTTACATTACAGAAAAAACAAATTAGGTGAATTTAGGCTACTTGACAAATTTTTGGCGACTCGGGCCGGTCCAGACTTGGCAACACTGCTTAAACGTAGTGATTATTAAGCATGAGCGTTTTCAGTTTTTGGGTGCAACGGTTACATAACCGATATTTAGTTTTCATATCGTTATTGGTTTTCAAATATCGATATCAGTAGTAACGGTTTGCTACTGAATACGCAAACGACAACCGAAACATAACCGAAAACTGTAGAACCAGTGCAACATTTATTTTACGAATTACTTTGATTATTTAGTTAAGAAGTCAGAGGCTCTAATATAATCTTAGATGTAATATTTAGACATGTATTTAATTTATGATTGTTATGCAGTAATATAGTATTATATATGTATGAAATTACATTATTTCTATTCTTATTTATTTCTATAATGTTTATACTCACATTTTCTAAGGTGAGACGTAGGATCAGAGTTTGATTTCAAAGTCTATAATTAAACTGTATTCATAAGTAGTAAGCATAATATATATATATATATATATATATATATATATATATAAAATTATTTTAGGTACATAGTTTATTTATTAATGACTAGCTGTCCCCTGCGACTTCGCCCGCGTGTTATTTAGGGTTTAAATTTTATTGCGCGGAACCCTAATTCTTTTTCTATAATAAAAGTAGTCTAAGTTACTCCTTATGACATCAGCTATCTGCCAGTGAAAATCTTGTCAAAATCCGTCTAGCCGTTTCGGAGATTAGCCGGAACAAACAGACAGACAGACAGACGGACGGACAGACCGACGGACGGACAGATAGACAGACAAAAACTTTAAAATTTGTATTTCTGTTATTAGTACCGTATATACTTTCATATGCATTAAGTAAAAAGCTGTAATTTTGACATTACAAACAGACACTTCAATTATATTTATTTGTATAGATTATGTAACGATTTACCTTCATATACTTAACTAGGCTAAAAACTTTTCTGCTAGTTTAGAACTAAGAAAAAGTTTAAGTTTAGTTTAAGTAAAAAGAAAAGTTTTAAAACTAATGTACAAAATGCAAACAAATATATCAAATAATTGCACAAACGCAACGTCAAAAAGTAATAATTTTACAGATAATTTGATAGTGAACGGCACACGCCACCAAAGTGTGTAATTGTTACGTTTTAAAAAAATCAAATTCTAAACTTTCCATCTAAAACATAAACAAAAGTTACCTAAACCAAATGTAATGTGATCAAACAAATCTAAGTCTTGTGTCTAACGTTGTAAAGATCATTTAAATCTGACAACTCTCACAACTACACAAACTTAAAAATTAGGCAATTTTAACCTTTTAAAATTCGACCTTATTGTTAAGGATCTTATGATTATATTTCACTACGTGCACCGTTTTATGATAACTACCAAAACATCGCAACGAAATCCATATTCGCTTCATCTCTTTCATACGTATTTATGATACCGTCGCTAGAACGAGAAACAACGAATATGAAAGGACCTCATTTAGTTTTGTTGGAATATCATGCAGTTTGCGTTTTACGTTTTGTACGTTGTGGCGCGTCTCCACCAGTTTTGTTGTCAACACAACATTTGTCAACGCGTGTTGCCGACAAATGTTTCTGTAATCAACTAGTTTTAGGAACAAAACGAAACAATGTCGGGATTCGTGTTTCCATTTTCGGCTGCAACATCAAAGGAATACGCTTGTTGCCGACATTTGTTCCCTCGGTGGAGACGCTTCTTGTAACATTTTGAAACATTTTCGGAAACAAATGTCGTCAACTTTTGTTCATTTGTCAACAGTTGGAAACATAAATGTTGTGAACATTTTTGGTGGATACGCGCCTTTAGTTAGATGGTTAGTTGGGTTTGTTTGGATATGTGATAACGGTTATGTACTTAGGTTTATCGGTATGATATGATATTTGATAACATAACGTTATTAGTTACGTTTTGATATATCGGTCTCATTCCTATGATTATATTCTCTTTGGTTTTTAGTCTGTGATCTGTTTATAATTTGTGTTGGTAATAATTACAGAGTTATTTAATGGTATTTAGTATTTACTATTTAGTATTATTGTTCCGTGTATTATATGATCAGAGTATACTAATTATTAATGATAATGCAGCCATCAGTAGCCATGAATCCATGAATCTTGTTGAACATACCTGCATTAGGTACACAAAATAATTGCACTAAATTAGAAAGTTATTATTTGTATCACTTCCATGATTGACATGATATTGTAGGTAAAATCTTTATTAAAACAATAGTTTTGCCGATAATAAATTGATTCGCCCCGTACAAAAATAACAAAATGTCTTTAGTTGCATACGAGAATAGCGATTCTAGTGAATATGAAGACGACGATCAAGAAACCTCATCTGTCACATTGGATAAGTCACAGAATGGTAATATTTTCTCTCCTTATTTTGTTTGTATACATTTTAATAAAGAAAGTAATATTGTGATATAACTCTTTTCAGTTGTCGTGTCAACAAAACCATCTTTACAAAACACAGAACAAAATGGAATTGGAACAGAATCAGATGCTACTTTGTTTAATGCTTTGCCACAGCCAATAAATAAAGTGTCAGGTGTTATTGAAGAAGAAGATGAGTTTTTACATAAAAAAGAGGCCATAAGCAATATTCCGAAGCCCAAATCAAAGATAACAGTGCCTTCTCTCAGTGATGTAAGTGTGAATAGGTATAAATGCATTTGAATGCTTTATAATTAAATTGTAATATCTTTGTCTTAACAAAGGATACTGGTCACGGTTTATTCATGCTGTGACCTGGCTATAAAATATAGCGAACATGATTAATGTATGGATTAATCCATTCCACCTAGGCACAATCTAAATTCTAAATTGAAAATACATTATTTAAAAGCCGAGGATCATAGAACATTACACTTATGTATCTTGTCACTTTTGAGGTTATGATGTAGCCATGATGCAGCCATGACTACAACCACATCCAAATAATTAATACCAAAACTATGCAGTAATGTATACTTAACTAAACAAGTCAAGTCAATGTCTAAAATCACAAAAATGTATCAATAATCTTTTCACTGTTAAGTATCTAAGACACAGGTGCTTTGACTTTTGCTTAAGCTTTGACAGCTCTCGTCATAGAACCACAAACTGCATAGGTCTCTATGCAGTCTGTGGTTTTATGACGAGAGCTGTGTGTCTACTCATAATATATTCCGTTCTAAGTATTAGTGCATTCTATATTTACTGTCAACCTATCATTTGCAACTTATTTCCGAATACTTTCCATATCTCCATCTAAAAGTGATATTATTGATAATACACTACAAAAACAAAAAATTCATAATAAAATGTAGTATTTATAAAGTAAACTCATAATGGTAGAGTTACTTTAGTGTTATAATGAAATTTTAAGTGCTAATTTACCATGTGCTCAGCGGTGAAGGAAAAACATCATGAGGAAACATGCCTGTCTGAGAAATAAGAAAAAAAATATTTCGAAGACATGTGAAGTTTGCCAACACACATTGGGGCAGCGTGGCGGATATTGCCCTAAAACCCTCTCAGAAATTAGAGAAGGTCTGTGCCCAGCAGTGGGACGTAAATATGCTGCAACTTCACTTTACTTTTATGATGAAATGTTTACTACAGATAAAAACAGGACGGGTTTAGATGCATTCAAAACTTATAAAAAGCAGCAAGGAAATGAGGTTTTTTATTACAAAGCTAAATTATTTTAGCAGCTCCAAGAAAATAAGTTGGATCTTGTAATATAATATACACCTAAGTCACTATTTTTTGACGCATCAATCATTGGTGGTCGTTTCATATCATGTTTATATTCATGTCAGGTTGTATTTGACCGATATTCTTTAGTAATTCTATTAAATTCATAAGAGCAAAATTTAAGTTTGCACATATCTTTTGTCTTCAACTGTTGGGGAAGAAAGCTTCTAGCGTGGTAGTCTCGTACCTGAAGCGTATGGTGGCCCTGGTAAGAGATGCAGGAAATTGATGGATACAGGTTGCTCAGGCCTGTGTTTTAGGGCATTTTGTGGGGGTGGCTTGTAGCAGTAAACTTGTAAAAGGCTGTAATGATGACGACAGTGTTGATAAATGAATTATATCATCCCAACTACCAAATAAATTGTATAGAAAGCACCATCCATATTTTTCGACAGGTTTGTACATTATATATAAACAATCAGGCCTGTCAGCTCCTATAATTACAAAGCATTGTCCTGCTTTGTGGATACCTTGGGAGAGCCCTATGTTCAGTACTGGACTTGTGAAGGCTAATGATGATGAGTATTTTTAAAGATTAATGGTCTCAAAAATTTAAGTATTACTGTATAAAGTGACCATATTAATAAATTACAATAGAAAGTTATAGTAGTAAGTATACATAACTTGTAATTATTGTCTCTTATTTTAATTTCTGATTTCTATCTTCAGCCTCCAAGAGGAGGCCTGTGCCCAGCAGTGGGGACTTATATAGGCTGTAACTTTTTACTTTTTTTTATCTTCAACTTGATAGGACACTTTCTGCCTGGGGCAAGAAAATGGGTATGTACCAAACCCATTTTCTTGCCTATTTCTAATGCCAACAATAGCCACTTACCATAATTTGAAATGTTAGCTTGTTTATTACTTGTTATGAGATAAGGTGAATTTATTATATTATATTATTCCTAATAATTAATAATTATTTAATGTTTTTTATCTTCTTACAGTTTAAGGATGTAGAAGGTACTATACCAAGTATGAAACCCAGAACTGTAAATGGTGTAAGTTGCAAATTAAATAATATGTCCAAGTTTGATATTAATGCTTAGTGATTACAAGTATTATTATATATATAATAATGTCATATATTTTTTTCAGAAAAAGTCTGGTCTACTCAGCATATTGCCACAACCTAAAAATGCTAGTATATCTGTTACAACACAATCTTTAATACCCCATGTTCTAACACAAAAATCAAGTAGCAGCAGTAGTGTTGTTAAGAAAAAAGAACATTCACCTTCTATAAAGAAAGCCACTGTTGAAACAAATAAATTGCTGAAGGACTATTCAGATGACAGTGACAATGATGATGAAGTACAAAATGATTTCTTTTCAATTAACAAACCCAATGAAATAGTAGAAGAGTTACCAATAGATGTCGAACAAAATATTTCAGAAGAGTTGAACATATCAAGTAAAAAAGAACCAAGAAGTATTGAATCATATTTCAAAAAGGATATGGATAACTTTATTACACAGAAACCAGACCAATCAGAGCAACATGAGATTGATATGGTGTCTTTACCTTCTAGCTCAATAACTGTTCCTGATACAGCATCCGATAATGATGGGATCCTGGATGATGAAGCAGTAAGTACCATTTTAATTAACCTTCATTAAACAAAAGTTTTCCTTAATCTAGGGTTATTTGTTATTACATTAACATTAATAACTCTATGACTGGACCATTGTCACTTCACCTTACTGATCCATTGCACTATGTCAGCTATTTTGATTCTACTATGGATATCCCCTTTAAAAAGTCTATCACACAGAGACACTCCAAATATAGTTATTTCCATAGGTTGTTGCCAATAGTGAAGGACCACATTTCAAATCCATATGTCCTTACTGGCAATATGTAGTGGTTGTACACTCTTGCTTTCTTGAGGTATTTATGATGAGATCTGGCCAAAATGAATCCCATGATACCATGAAACCATATGCAGCGCAGTAGCTTGAAAATAGTGAAGTTTCTGTAATATTACAACACCCTGTCTAAAACTTTTGCAGTTGTATAGGTTTTGTACTCTGATAGCCAATGTAGCCCTACTGTAAAAACCAACCCTTCAGTACACAGTCAACTTGGCACCACTAAAATTTCAATGAAATCAAAGGCTTTCTCATAGTCCAGAGATGCAATACAAAGTGGTAGATACTCTTCTGCCTTCTGTACAATTTGCCGAATCCTATTCAGAAACCGGCTTTTTAGGGAGGCTGGAAGTCGTAATCTGCATGCGAGATGATTTGAAAACAACACATAGATACAGCAGTAGTTCTTCAATAGAACATTGTCGCCTTTTTTAAAGAACAAGATCACTGCACTTTTGCTCCATGCTTTTGGAGTAGTCACCATGGAGGACGCAATTAAAGAGCATCTGAAGGATTTCAATTAGCAATTTTCCATCCACTTTAAGCTCAGCTGTAATTCCATTCTTGCCATTTTTAAGATGCTGGAGAGCCATTCTAATCTTGTTCAGATTGATGTCCAGGGATTATCATCAGAATAGTGTTGGATGATATTCTGGATGATTGACTTATTTCTTGGTCATACAAGCACTTGTTATTTGTGTGACTTTTACCCTAGGGTACTTAGTGCCGTAACTTAATGCGAAGCTGCTGTTCCACCAACTCATCATGTATTGATTAAATAATTTTGTGAGTTTTTATAATTTTTAGATCTTAAAACTAGTTGGTGCCCGTGGAAAACGTAAGAGGGAAGAAATTCAGATTGTTGATGTCAATCAGCAAGAAGTTCTTGCAGATGCAAGGGAATGGTTGTTGAAAGGCCTCATGGATGACACAAGTAAAAGGGTTTCAGCTAGTAAAAAGAAAGGCAATGAACCATCTAATATGCAAAAGAGAAAACACCAGATCACATATTTGGCTCATCAAGTAAGTGTTTTGACATTCATAACTTTTGAGATCTTTTTTTTTTCAAAATTCTCAATCAAATAAATGAATAAGCATAATTAATTGTTTTTATATGAGATTGTGAATACTTAGAGCCATGGGTAGCTCACTACCTCTAAGGGGCTAAGCACTCACTTAACACTAAGCACCTGGGTTCAATCCTAGCCGGCACCAATGAAATTGTTAATTGCAATTTTAAGTGCTGATTTTCCATGAGTTCGGCGATGAAGGAAAACATTGTTAGGAAACCTAAATTACTAATCAATAAGAAAAAATATATTTCTAAATCATGTGAAGTTCCCCAACATGCATTGTGGTATTGCCCTAAAACTCTCACAGAAATGAGAGGAGGCCTGTGCCAAGCAGTGGGACATATATAGGCTGTAACTTTAACTTATAGTTTATAAATGTTATACTCTGAAATGTTTGTGAATGTGTAGAGCATCATAACTTAGTAAATAAAGACTCATACAATTAGTACAACAGCTACTTAGGAATGTATTTTATCCAAATCTGATCAAATGCAGAGCCAAAGTACTATTTATGCTGTAAAGAATAGTGGCACAATTTCCTAACTAGAAAAAGGGATTGGTTGTTTCATTAACTCAAGTTATATTGTAAGCTACAAATATTGCATATATTTTTTATAGTGTCCCAGCTATTGCAGATTTAAGTTAATTTTCTGAAATGTAACTTTTATAATAACAGGAAAAGAATTAGTTTTTTTTACTACTTAGCTGTATTGAGTATTAAATAGCATTTTTCTATTCAGGTTCTGCTGTAAAGTGTAATTTTTAACTTATAAGAAGTATATATTTTTTTTGTTTTCAGGCTAAAGTAAATGAAATTGAGTTACAAAACACATGGGCTAATAACAGAATGACTAAGCGAAAAACACAGTCAAAATATGGATTTTAATTGTTTAAAAACCAATGTAAATACTATTTAGTGTTAATATTATAAAGGTTTTTTATAAATGAAACTGTTTTTAACTAAACATATTATTTACTATATTTAATTTAAGAACTAAAAAATATTTTGATTACAATCTCCTAGCTTTCCTTGGGCGGGGTGGATTCCAAGACACATATGTGTTATCAGTTATAGACACTATGTCCAAGCCTCCCATCTGTAAACCTTTTACTGCAGACTGAAAAACAAAAGTAATGCAAAATATACAAACTTTGTTTCAATTTTATTATAATTTATGATATGATTTAACAAGTTATTCTTACCAGTCTTCCTGGACCCAAGCCTCTTACTCTTACTCTGACAGTTTTGAACCCTTTATCTAAGGCTCTCTAAAAAGACATTTTATATTAAGATTAAAAAACATCCAGTTCTAGACTGACTAAAATGGGAATAAATATTTTTTTTATTCTGTTATTTCACTGCTGCTATGTCACTAATAATCACAATACAACAATTTTATATACCTTCCTTTAAAGCCCACATTTAAATAACTTTTTTTTTTTTCGTTTTCAAAAAACGTTACCCCCACACTAGGATTTTCTCCTGTATTGTGGAGGCAGTTTACAAACACAAATTGCACAAGGACAAACATCCAGACCCGGAACAATTATTTGTAGGCCATACAAATACTTCTTCCGTGCGGGCTTTGAACCCGTGCCCCCCAGCGCAGCAACTCATTGCTAAGCCACTGTGCCACAAAGCCATCAAAACTATAAATATATAACAATAAACATTGAAAATCTTTTTTTTATATTAATATGTTTTCTTGCCAAATATTTTCATCAAGTTATTCCGTTTATCCACCCTAGAGTGGATACATGGAAACGCATGTTCATTTTTCCACCCTAGACGGGGTGGATAGTCGGAATTCACTTTTTTATTGTTGTTCTGCCTTTCCATCCATAAAATATCTATATTTTTTTTATGTTTGTATTTATAATGTAAATATAAATCCGTTTTATGAAAAACACGAAAGATACCATAATAAATGATCTCTTATTGAAATTTGTTTTTTTAACAGTACCTATTAGGGCAGATAACAAATAAAATAGGTTAGGTTCAACTTATGTCAAAGAACCGAATTGATTGACCCCGACACCTGGTACGAGTCTGTCCTACCCCTAGAGTGATTTTATAGAGCCGGAGGCACGTAGGGGGAGCAGCCTCCGCCTGCTGTAACAAATCGTAGGCATCGGACGAGCCAGAGCAGCTGAAGCTGGTCGCCGAAGGCGACCAACAAGCCGAAGCTGCGGAGGCGAGGAGGGATGCCTGCGATTTGTTACGCTAAGGCGTAGAGGCTGCTCTTCCCGCAGCTCCAGAGACGTAGAGTCTCAAAATAGATACAGAAATCCTTCTGGTAGGAATTATTGACCTAAATATTGCAAAAATAGTTGATTTTCAATATTTTTTTTTCTCAAAAAGTACGTGTCCCCGAATGTCGAAACTTTGTGTGTGTGCTTATAATAATGTAACCTTTCTGTAATAAAAATATCAACCGCCTACTTGACGGACAGCAATGGTGATTGGCATAAATATTGCAGAAATAATTGATTTTCAATAATTATTTTCTCAAAAAGTACGCGTTTCCGCATGTTGCAACTTTGTGTGTGTGCTTATAATAATGTAACCTTTCTGTAAAAAATAATATCAATCCCCAACTCGACGAACGTCAATGGAAAGTCTTACCATTACTATATCAAAAACAAACTTACTGTGGCAATACTGATTGCAGTAGTTTGTGCAGCAATATTTGTTCCTTTCTTTGTATTTTTAAAACCTTCCATACCACAGGACCTTGTAAGCTTTACTAATCCTGCTGAGTCTGTCACTGTGAAAACTGTATTGTTGTGGGTGACTCTGATGTTGCATATAGGCAGATCTTTGTATGGAACACCACCAAAGAGAAGACTGTCGGATTCCAGTGTCGGGAATATATTTTGTTTCCTAAAAATACACAAATTATTCATAAAACGCTAAATTAATGAAAAAAATTTTTAGGTTTCATAAATGTCATGTATATGTATCACATACAACTTTAAAACAGAATCTAAGTCGACTATTTTCTCGCCCTGGACTCCTTCATCATCAGCAGGGATTCTTTTATGATCAAACTTTTCTGTCGCTTGCGGAGCGGTTGAATGAATACACCGTAAAGCTGATACTCTTACAGCATTTTTTATGACATTCAGCATGGTTTTGCTTTAATATTTATTACTTAAAACCAAATAGCCAAAGTTATAAAAAATAAAATAAAAGATTGAATAATTTAAGTGACAGTTGATAACACCACCTTATCTTCTGTCAGACGTTTGTTTTTTAATTTTATTTTTTAATGACAAAGGAATATATGCCCACTCAGCCTAGTCTGACTTTGTACACAAAATTCTTTTTTATGGATACGTCAGGAAGTTTTTGGAAGATTTTTTTACCATAGCTTAACCTCGTGAACAACTGATGACGATAGTGACCTATCGTAACGATAAAAAAAAAATAGGAGTAGAATTATTATTAGAGCGATCAAGGGAGTTGCTTTTGAAAATAAATGCACTAGCCAAAAATATACAGGGTATTTTTGGAACGCTCCCGAAAACTAAGACAGGCGACAGCACCAAGTATACCTTTGATCATGGGTAACACATAAATTCGATCCTGATGAAAAAAAAATCATCTTTTTATAACGTTTTATTAGCTTTATTCACGCGCTATCATGTTAGTACAGCTAAATGAAACGATAATTTCATAAAAAAATCATGAAAATACTGAAACATAAAACCAGCAGTGGAATTACTGAATTGATATCAGCTGATTTGAGGTCAATGTACGCACGAACGCAAATTCGCGCGGCCCGCGCCCTTGTCTAAATACCTAACTTATCTACTCAACCTACTACTTTGCCACTGTACTTGTCTCCACGTAGCCACTTTAATACGAATTTACAGGTTAAATAACCCAAATAACTGGTTCGATTCCCCGCTAATGAAAAAATACTTAAATTAATGAAATGTAACCAAGATTGGAGTCATGCGTTTTTATTCATCGTGTAGGTATGTTTATTATTCTCATGTATTCAGTTATGTACCTATTCAGATTAGTCCAGTACTAAGTTATTTAAAAAAAATACTTATGAAACAACTTACCGCTCTAAATCCTCCGTGGTCTTATGAGATGTGGCTCAAATTGTGCTCCATTCATTTCAAGGCAGATTTGGGCTCGGTGTTGCATCTCCTCATGCAGGCGGGGCATCATCGTGTGGTTTTCGACACAGTCCGTACGTAGTTTGTCGAAAACATCCACGATCCTTTGGCGCATTTCATCAGCACTATCACACTCGCGATTAAAAACCCTTTCTTTCACATACCCCCACAGAAAGAAGTCCAACGGGGTCAGATCTAGTGAGCGAGGTGGCCAAGCGTGTGGTCCTAGTCTGCCGATCCAGCGATCATCAAATAGCTCATTGAGGCGCTCACGGACTAACCTCACGACATGTGGAGGGGCACCATCATGCTGGAGCCGTGTGCGGCGATATTCAGCCAACGATAGGTCGTCTAAAATGTCCACCAACTGTTCACTTACAAAGTTTAGGTATCGCTGACTTCGTGTACCTAGGTTCGGATACCTAACATGTTGAGCACTATAAACGTACGCGTTAGGCATTATTAAAACAAAAAAGAATCCAAAAACGTTACAACAACAATAATATCAACACGTAATCACAAGTAAATTTATTAAAAAAAACGATTGAACTGTCGCTCGCGCACGCGTGTACAAAATCAACACGGAACTGTCTCAAAAACTAAAACGAACAAACCCCGCCAAGGCCTGAAACCTACTGCGTCACAAGCGTGAGGCGACAGGGTTAGGCATTCTGCCGTCATAATAAAGAAGCACACAACTAACAAAAACGTAAAATCGAAATAAAAAATAAATAGATGAATTTTTCTTTGAGACCCTGCTGTGTCTAAAGTATATTAAAAGGTATCAATATGAAAATTGATATACGTAGTGACTTGAAGATTTTAAAGACGAACTTATTTTTTTGATAATTTGTTTATTTATTTAAATAAAACGAATTTTCTTTTTCATTTTAGCTTAAAAAATACACCTGGCCACATAAAAACATCGAATGAAAGACGCATATAACCATTTTGCGTCTTTCCAACGTAATAAATAAAAAAAACCGCCATTCATTTAACATTTTTACATATTTTGGAAAGGTCATTTGAAGTTGAAAGGAGGCTAGTAGTAATTTACTACTTTTTTTATTATTAGTGAATATTAGAAAAGCATTGGTAGTGAGACACATAAAATAACAACCCGCAACTCTTGAGTTATGATTTTAAAGGGTATATCATACCAGACTTACTACGATAATAATTAAAAATTAAAAAATTTTACAACCGACTTCAATATAAATAATTAAGGATAACTCAAAAACTATTGGTCTGACCTCGATCAAATTTATATGGGACGACATGTGAAACACCAGCTCTTAATAATAAGATATAAGCTCTTAATAATAAGATAGAATAATAAGACAAGAATAATCGAAATTTAAGTAATCGATGCAAATATTGTTAAAGATGACGTAGCAACTGGTTAAATAAGTCTTTTCTTTTATGTCGAATTTGTATTGTGGAGTGTAGAGAGAAGGAGGACCATCTCTAATCTCTATACTATGAAAAGTGTCCCTAAAAACGTGTCGAATAAGGGTGGCGCTGCAGTAGTATAGGATAAATTAAAAAAAGCGCCAAAAGTAATTAGAGTAAGATGGAGAAATAAACAAGGACCGATTAATCCGCTTGGTTTTGTACTACGTAAATAGTTGAGATTTTGTGTACTGGCATTTTACTAACTACTCTAGTCATGAAATTTTTTAAATATTTGAATTCAGCTGACTTCACTCCGTCCATAACAGCTATCTTCATATCGTAGTTTTTCAAACGCCTGCGCTATTGTGGTAGGTTTTGGAACCTCTATTTTCAGTAAATAGTAGGACACTTTTTCAACTTTCGCCCCTTATAAGATGGTTCTCCTTGTACTCTACACTCCATAATTTGTATAAGTCTTTTCTACTAAAAAAATGTCATCTGTGATCAACAGTTACGTCTAAAATTCTTACGATATTTTCTAAAATATTGATATTTTTGAATATTAAAAAATTTAGTAGATGCGCCTTTTTATGATGAGTCGAATGGTATATTTAACTCATTTATTCAAAAATTGTTAGATGCGGCCTTTTTTCTTATGACGGCTGTTTCGACGACGACGACGGATTGTTTCGCACCGAGCTAGAAACAGGTCGACAGTGTAGTTACAGTCGCGTTCTAAAGTACTACATGGTATTGGGATATTGTTTTATAATATTATAGTAATTAATTGTTTTATTGTAGAATCATAATAGGTGCTTTACTAGCTACTTTGAACTTTGGAGAAGGTTGGAATTAAAAATGGATAATGTTTACTTGAGCATTATTTGTTATTTCTATCGTAAAATAAAGTAGTTTGTAACAAGAAAACTTAAGCTAAGGGTGACACGCCGTCCATTATGTCGTCTTGGGTCACATGGAAGCCAGATGTTGATGGTGTGTTGGTGTTACTGGATGCTACTTCATCATCACTTTCATCTTCGCTTGAGCTTCCGTCATCAGGTCGATCACATGGTAAGTTTTTCGGTATTCTTCCTCAACACTTTTAACTTTATTGCACAATTTTCCCCATTCACCTTCTCCTATCATATTTACCTTTTCGTTCACTAGTTCTGTCATAAAACAATAGATATAAATAATTTTAGCTTGACTTAGCCGTAGTACTTTAGAACGCGACTGTACCCATGCGCAAAGTGCGGGAATTTACCGACAGCGAAGCGATGTGCTTGAAACTTCGCACGAAGTGGCGAAGTATTCACGAAGGGCCGGCCTCATACATTGCGATAACGAAGTGATGTGCTTGAAACTTCGCACGAAGTTACGAAGTATTCACGAAGGACTGGTCACATACATTGTGCTAGCTCGAATCTTTGCGCTAGCGCGATGTGTGTGGCCGAGGCAAAACACTCCCTCCACAGAAATTTAATTTGCCAGCGACAATAGAATCAGAGGCGGCAATCACTATAAAACTTGCAAGTCATTTTTAATAATTTACGAACCTCTTTTTAATTTCAAAGTATTGGCCGGATTAAATACGGAAAGTCAATTATAATAAAATAAAAGTATTATTTTTTACATTAATTCTCATTGATAATATCAACTCTCGATCATAATTGCAACTGATTTTAACTATTAAATTATTCAGTACCATTTCATTTCTATTTTCTTATACAAAAACAAAGATAACGATGAAATAGTGTTTATAATTGTGTGAGTACTGAGTACCCAATTAGGTACGTTTATTAATTTCAATAATTTTTGTAGTAAAGAACTGCTTGTTGCGTCAGGGTACAATTGATTGTGTAATTGTATTAAAAATGACAACCATAACTTTTAAATTCCATATGAAGACTAGTCGTAGTGATAAATAAATAAACGTTGGCGATGTCTTAACATACATAACGCTTTAACGGTGTCTGGAAAGTTCCAGTGCTTCAAGGACATTGCCGCATTTGTTTTAGCGGAATAAATTAATAATTTTAGTTTTTGTTACAGTTCCGTCTTGACTGTGGCGAGAGACAGTACAATTTTTTTGTTTATTAAATTATTCTTGTTATTTATTACTTAATGTATATTCTTGTTGTTACGGTTTAAGTTTCTTGTTTTGTTTTTATAATGCCTAACGCCTACGTTTATAATGCTCGTGAATACGGCAATATGTTAATGTGTCTTGGTGAAGCTCGCGGGAATGCTTCGCATGCATTGCGAATTTATCGAGAGAGATTCCCGACCGCTCGACATCCAGCTGACTCTCGTCTGATAACAGCAGCATTTCAGCGAGTGTTGGAAAATCGGCCCATTGCTCTGGTAGCGGCAGGAGGTGGAAGTCAAGTGGCTGTTCACTCAGAGGAGCGTATTTTAGATGTCGTTCGCCGGAATCCGAACCTAGGTACACGAAGTATCGCTAAATTGTTAAGGCGTCGGGATGGAACAAGTATATCATACTGTACAGTTCACAAAGTGTTAAAGCGTAACCGACTGCGCCCATATAAAGTGTACAAAGTGCAAGCGTTAGTTACCGGCGATCACGACCGCCGGCGAATCTT